CCGCGGGGCTCCTGGCCGCGCTCCGCGCCGCCCACGGCCACGAAGGTGGGTCCCGACCCGCTCCCGCCGCCCGCCCTTCCCCGCGCTCCCTCCGTCCTTCCCTCCCGCCCTCCGTCGGTTTTTCGCCCTCTCCGCCGTCCCTTGTCCGCCCTTCCCTCCGCTCTGTCCGTCCGTCCTTGCCCGTCGGGTTCCGCCCCCGGCCCCGCTCCCTCCGTCCCGACCGGGACTCGCGCAAAGTTGATCGCGGTTGCAGGGCGGGGGCTTGTTGTCCGACGTGGGGGGAGTCCCGGTAAACTTGGTGCGGGGGGGTGGGGGAAATGCCCCCCCCCCAACCCGGCGGAGAGTGCTGGTAAATCCAGTGGGACGAGTTACTAGCCCCCCACACTGCTCGATGGTACCGATGGGGGCCCCCCTATAGCCCAGCAGAGMCCCCTTCTCTCCCTCTGTGTTCCTGGGGGGTGGAGGGGGTAGGCACACTCGGAGCAGGACGAGGGGACACGGAGCCCCCTCCATTCCCGGGATGGGGCACATGGAGCGGGGCCGGGGCGGGGGGACACATTCCCTCCAAGTTTGGTGGTTGCACATGGGTGCTCGGGGGAGGGGGGGCATCGAGCCRCCCCCGTCCCGTCCCGGGCGCCCTTCGTCCCCGCGGCCGCCCGGCCTTGAGCTCTGTCCCCGCGGCGGCGGCAGGCGCGGGGCAGGTGGTGGCGGGGGCAGCTGCCGCCGCTGTCACTCAGGGCCCAGCGCCGCGGGGCCCCCCGGGCCGGGATCCCGGGCACGGGGCGGCGGCGGCGGCCGCGTCCCGCGGCGCTGCCAGCCCCTGCGTCAGCCGCCCCGCTCCCCAAACACGCCCGACCTGAAAAGGCGGTTCCTGGCGGGCCGGCCGTGACTCACCCGCCCGGCCCAGGGCGGGCACCYGTGTCACGACGGCGCCAGGTCTCGGCTCGCCCGCGGTGATGCCGCTTTGAGGGGGGCTTTGCAGGGATGGCCCCCTCGCCGTTCCCCATCCCGATCCGCTGCTTGGGAATGCCGCTGGCTCGGCAAGGGGCCGGACCCCCCTCCCCGCCCCYGGCGAGGCCACCCCGGGGGCTCCGGCATCCGCCGCGGTGCCACCAACAATGGGGTCTTGTCTGGGCGCTGCCCCCGCGGGCGGCGTGGGCAGAGCCTTCCCGCCCGGCCCCGGCGCATCCCGCCGCGGCGGGAACGCCGGCACCCAAGGAGCCCGACGCCGCCCGGCCTCGCCGCTCCCGCCTTCCCTGGCCGGTCACCCGGCCCGGCCCCGCTGGCTGCCGTCGCCCCGGGCGTCCCCGTGGTGCTGGGGACACGCTGGCACCGTGCCGCGTGCCTCCCGCCGGGAGCGCCCCCGGGAGCGCCGGAAGCCCATGGAAAGCTGTTGGAAGCGGCTCCGGAGCTCCGTGGCGGCCTCCGCGGCATTTCCTGCGGGGGCCGGTGCTGGCGGCTGCCGGCCGGGTTCGCACGGTGTGGCTGGGGCCACTGGGGTCCCCCAGGAGCTGCTCAGATCCCCCCCAGGAGCCGCTTGGTTCCCGCACAAGCCGCTCAGTCCCCCCCCAGGGTGCTCAGACCTCTGCCATGGGCACCTCAGGTCCCCCCATGGGCCGCTCCATGGGATCCCCCCATGGAGCACTCAGGTCCCCACGAGCCGCCCGGTGCCCGTCCCCGCAGTTTGCACCGGCACCGACATGAAGCTGCTGCGCCCGGCCAGCGCCGAGAGCCACTACGAGACCCTGCGGCACCTCTACGAGGGCTGCCGCGTGGTGCAGGGCAACCTGGAGCTCACCTACCTGCCGCCCGATGCCGACACCGCCTTCCTCAGGGTGAGCGGGCGCCGCGGCGGCACCGGCACCGGGGCCGGCGCGGGCGCCCCTGGGGGGGCCTCACGCGCCTCCCGCCGCCGCAGGACATCCAGGAGGTGCAGGGCTACGTGCTCATCGCGGAGAACCGGGTGAGCGCGCTGCAGCTGCAGGGCCTGCGCATCATCCGCGGCACGCAGCTCTTCGAGGAGCGCTACGCGCTCGCCGTGCTGGGCAACGGCGGCGCCCCGGGGCTGCGGCAGCTCGGCATGAGGCGCCTCACAGGTGGGKGGGCATTGGGGGGGCATTGGGGGGCTGGGGGGGCTCAGTGGAAGGGGGCCCTGCACAAGACTTGGGATCCAGTTGGGTTGGGGGGCCCTGTGGGAGTCTCTGCTCAAGGCTGGGGTGCTCCGTGGGAGTCTCTGCCCAAGGCTGGGGGCTCTCATTGGGTGGGGGTTCCCCGTGGGCCTCCATGGAGGGTCTCTGCCCAATGCCCAGGGCTCCCATCCGGGGTTGGGCATCCCTGTGGGGCTGGGTGTCCCCATGGGGGTCTCGACCTAGGGCTGGGGGTCCCCACTGGGCTTGGTGGCCCCCTACTCCCTGCCCAGGCTGGGGCGCCCCCCAGGGCTGCCAATCCTCGTCAGTCCGTGCCCGGGACTAGGTGTCCTCAGGAAGGTGCTGATGCCAGCGCAGGGCTTGGTGTCCCCATGGAGCTGGGGGTCCCCGTGGGATGGGATGTCCCCGCTGGCCCGGTGTCCCCGCGGGGCCGGCTGTCCCCAGGGCGCTGACGCCGGTGCCCGCGCAGAGATCCTCAAGGGCGGCGTGCGCATCGAGAGGAACCCGCAGCTCTGCTTCCAGGAGAGCATCCTCTGGGCCGACATCCTGCACCGGCACAACGAGCTGCGCGGCGAGACGCACGTGGAGAGCACCCGCAACCGCACCTGTGAGCGGGCCGGGCACGGGGGCGCCGGGGGGGGGCCTGTGGAGCCGCCCGGAGGGGGCACGGGGTCTGGGGTGCCCTGCGGGGCCGCCCACGGCGCCGCTGATGCCCCCCGTCCCGACCAGGTCCCGACTGCCGGGCGCTGTGCGCGGAGGGGCACTGCTGGGGCGAGGGGCCGCAGGACTGCCAGACGCGTGAGTAGGGGTGGGGGGCACCCCCCGACGTGGCCCTGGCCGTGGGGCACCCCCCGGCCCAGCCCCTGCTGCCCCCCGTCCTCCTGGGCAGAACCCCTGCCCCATCCCCTCTCCCGAAGCCCGGGGATCCCTGCTTATCCCACAAATCCCTGCCCCAGCAACCTCCGAATTCCCTGTCCTGACCTGCTCCGGAGACTCCCTAAATTTCCCAGTCGCTGCCCTATGTCTGCCCTGTCTACCCCCCAAAGCCTCCAGTGTCCCCATCAGTCCCTGTCCCCTGCACCTCACTTGCCCCCCAGGTCCCCGTCCCCCCCCCAGGTCCTCATCCCCCCCATGCCAATCCTGGGGCCAGTCCTATGGCCTCACCTCCCCGCTACAAGTGCCATAGGGTCCCCAAAGACACCCGAGGGGATCCCCGTCCCCACTGCACCCCCTCGTCCCCGCAGTGACCAACAGCATCTGCCACGGGTGCCCGCGCTGCAAGGGCACGAAGCCGACCGACTGCTGCCACGAGCAGTGCGCCGCGGGCTGCACCGGCCCCAAGCACTCGGACTGCCTGGTGGGCACCGCGCGGCCGCCCGGGGGGGCGCTGGCGCGGCCCCCGACGGCCTCACGGCCACCCCCGCCGTCACCCCCCTGCCCAGGCCTGCCTGAACTTCAACCGCAGCGGCATCTGCGAGCTGCACTGCCCGCCGCTCGTCATCTACAACTCGGACACCTTCGAGTCGGTGCCCAACCGCGACGGGCGCTACACGTTCGGCGCCAGCTGCGTGAGCCAGTGTCCCTGTGAGTGCCGGGGGGCTCTGGGGGGGGCGCCGCGCGTGGCCACCCCCTCCATCCCGGCCCTGACCGCCCTCCGGCCCTAGATAACTACCTGGCCACGGAGGTGGGCTCCTGCACGCTCGTGTGTCCCCACAACAGCCAGGAGGTCACCGTCAACAACGTGCAGAAGTGCGAGAAGTGCAGCAAGCCCTGTCCCCAAGGTGAGGGGGCCGCGCCGCTGCGGGCTCCCCGGGGGGGTCCCCCTGCAGGCAGGAGGGGGATTTGGGGGTCCGGGGGGTGCTGCCCGGCGCCGCTCTGCCCGCAGTGTGCTACGGGCTCGGCGTGGATTTCCTCAAGGGCGTCCGCGCCGTCAACGCCTCCAACATCCAGCACTTCGCCGGCTGCACCAAGATCTTTGGCAGCTTGGCCTTCCTGCCCGAGACCTTCGCCGGGTAGGCGCCCGTGTCCCCCCCAGGAGCCCCCGCGGACCTGCCCCCCTTCACCCTCCCCACATCTCCGCAGGGACCCCAGCACCAACACGGCGCCCTTGGACCCCGAGCTGCTCTCGATCTTCGAGAGCCTGGAGGAGCTGACGGGTGAGAGCGGCGGCACCGGGGACGTTGCGGGTCGTGCCGGGCAGGCTCGGGGACGCGTGGCGGCACCGTGACGGTGCTCTGCTCCCCACAGGCTTCCTGTACATCGCGGCCTGGCCCACGACCCTGCCGGACCTGCGCGTCTTCCAGAACCTGCGCGTGATCCGGGGCCGCGTGCTGCACAAGTGAGCGGGGGGCGCGTGCGGGGGGCGCGTGCGGCAGGGGGGCCCCCGTGCCGCCCGCTCACGCCGCCCGCGTCCCGCAGCGGCGCCTACTCGCTGACGCTGCAGGAGCTGCCCGTGTCGGCGCTGGGGCTGCGCTCGCTGCGCGAGATCAGCAGCGGGATGGTGCTCGTGCACCGCAACCCGCACCTCTGCTTCCTGCAGAAGGTGCCCTGGGAGAGCATCTTCCGCGGCCCCCGGCAGCGCCTCTTCCAGGCGCACAACAAGCCCCCGGAGCAGTGCGGTAAGCGGGGGTGCCCTGCAGCCCCTCGCGGCCCCCCCGTTACCCCCTACCCGGGCAATAACAGAGCCCCCTCTCCTCCAGAGCGCGAGGGGCTGAGTTGCTTCCCGCTCTGCTCCAACGGCTCCTGCTGGGGCCCCGGCCCGACGCAGTGCGTGGCCTGCGAGCGCTTCCTGCGCGGCCAGGAGTGCGTCGCCTCCTGCAACCTGCTGGACGGGTGAGCGCCGGGCCGGCCACGCGGCGCCCTCCCTGCGCCGCCCCGTGCAACGGGGAGGGCCCCCGCGCCCGCGCGCCCGGTGCTCACGGCTCCCCGCAGCGCCGTGCGCGAGCACGCCAACGGCACGCGCTGCCTGCCCTGCCACCCCGAGTGCCAGCCCCAGAACGGCACCGAGACCTGCTTCGGATCGGTGAGGCCACCGCCGCCACCCCCGGGGCTGGCGGGTCCCCTATGGGGCAGTGTGGGGCGGGTGTCCCCCAGGACGCCAGGGCCCCTGACCGCCCCTCGGCGCAGGAGGCGGATCAGTGCGTGGCCTGCGCCCACTACAAGGACGGCCAGAGCTGCGTGCGCAAGTGCCCCAGCGGGGTGAAGTCGGACGCCTCCTTCGTGCCCGTCTGGAAGTACCCGGACGAGGACGGCGTGTGCCAGCTGTGCCCCACCAACTGCAGCCACTCGTGAGTCCCGGGGGCCCCGCGCGGTGCCGGCGGCTCCAGCGGCCGCTCACGGGGCTCCCTGTGTGCCCAGGTGCACGATCCGGGATGAGGACGGCTGCCCCGTGGAGCAGAAGCCCAGGTTTGTGCCCGCGCGCCCTCCTGCAGCCAGGACCCGCCACCCTCGACGGGGCACGAACAGCCGCCGCGTCCCCAGCTCCGTCCCCTGCCCAGTGTCACCCACTGTCCTGCAGCCAGGTGACGTCCGTCATCGCCGGCGTGGTCGGGGCGCTGCTCTTCGTGCTGCTGCTGCTCATCAGCGGCGTGTGCGTGCGGCGGCGGCGGCGGCAGGAGAGGAAGCACGCCATGCGGCGGCTGCTGCAGGAGACCGAGGTGCCCCGCGCGGCGCTGGGAATGGGGCACACGGAATGGGGCACGCGGGGCTGGGAATGGGGTGCACACCCCTGGGAATGGGGCACACGGAATGGGGCACACGGGGCTGG